CCATGCATTTTTAAAACTAATGCAAAGAGCTACTTAGTCAGAATTGGATGAGTTGGGAAAAGATAATGGCCCTGATTCAGGTAGGTTTTTACCCAAGAATGATACAATAATGCAGTTACAATACTGGGAAGTTAAATAGGCTTTTGATATGAGCAATAAACGTTAACTCCCCTAAGTGGATTTACAACATGAGAGAGAATAACGTTTTGGATTACGAGACTAAATTGTTTTTAATAAATTTCAAGACCGTTTTTTGCACATAGAAGTCTTTGTTGCCGTGGTTCTCTCATGTAAAAGAGTTTCAGACGGATCACCTCTGTTTCCTCCAGCTGACAACTACAAGCAAACAGTACATCTCACATCATGTGAGGAGGCCAGTTCCTGTGGGCACATGTGGCTCTGGGGCTTATCTCTCAAAAACACAAGAGCCCGGACTGTCATGTGAGTCACGGTGGTGATTTCTCCAGGCCCCAGCAGGCATGTGGCCCTCAACACGCGCCACAAACAGTCATTAATTAATGTGGCAGAGATTGTGAGGTCCAAACGGTTTTGATTACGCCCCTTTGCAGGGGTGCTAAGACACTTGGTGGGTGATGCACTTTTCCGTTTCAATTAAAATCAAGGTTTAGTCACAATGAATTAGAAAATGTTGGTCTTATGCTGATGAGCCAGCAGGTAACTTAGCAAGGATTGAGATGTCCCTGTGTGATTTGGTTCATGAGGGAAAAGGCTGCCACAGCTCCACCCTCCCCCACCCATCCCCAAGAGGAAACCTGCAGATACTGGATCATGTCCCTCCAGAGCATGAAGAACCAATTTAGGCCAGTGCTGGCTCTTTTAAGTCACAAACAGAATGGAGAGCGTCGTGTACTTTGGCATTTTTGCAGAAGAGAGGAAGTTACATCTTCGACTTGAAAGGAGTTTTTCTTCTTATTCTTGATCTGTGATCACCTCAACAATAGAAGAGAAGCTACCCCAGGCCAGAGGATGAGTCATCAACAGGATTTGGATGATATCAGATCAGCTACACAGCAAATGATCGTGTTGCCAACTGTGAAAGTTTCACATACAATTAAACTAAGCTGAAAAGGGAAACTTTTACAAATCAAACCTTCTTTTTTCTGTTTTGTGCAAGCTCTTTGTATCCAAAAGAAGCTCAAGTCTGACATTATGTTCCTGTGACTGTCCAGTTGATTTTATCTGTCCTTTTAATCTTCCAAGACTTCAAAGAAGGGTTGCAGTGTCTTACTGAAACATCATTAATGCCCAGTGTGGGATTTTTGCTCCGTCTTTCTCTCTGTCACCTTTACTTCTGTTCCTGTTCTCTCCTCCACTTAAACTACAAAGCCTTGAGTGATAATCTCCAAATTATTTTCAAATGATTAAATATTATCTAATGTCTTCAGTTTTTTCCCCCCACAAGAGTGATGGGGATGAATACAATGACCTTTGTTGCCAAAGGTATGGTCTGAGCTTTTCTTCTTCAGGTGTTTTGGAGATGCTTCTCATGGCCGTCCATCTTTCGTGGAGAGATGGTCCAGTTTGGCTGCAGAATGACCATCTGTGACACCAGAGTCTGAACACTGTTTGTGTCTGGGGTCGTTTCCAGCCTAAGACTAAAGCCTAACCCACAACAAACACAACCATTTGCCATGTCCTCCTAAATGGTTTCTGTTTTATTCTTTAAAATTTTGATTTATTTTTTGTGAGTTGTGACAGAGCCATCATACTTGAATGTCTCTCCTCACTGAGCAGTCACTCACACAGATGGAAAGCTAAGAGTGATTCCCACTTTGATTTTTTAAAATGTATTTATTTTTTATCCACCTTCCCTGAGTGGGTTTTTTGGCTGTGAAGTTGACATTGTAATTACCCTGCTTCACTGATGACTCTTCAGGTGATTGCAGGATCGTTGAGACGATGCTCTGACAGATGTTTCTCTCTAACAGTCTTAATAGTGAGGAGGATGGAGAGGAGCTGAGGTTTGATGTTTGCATAAACTAGCAGTAAAATGGATCTTTAATTAACCTGTCAGCCTAGTCGCACATGAATGTGTAATTGTAACATTGCTAGAACATTTCAAATGAATTGGTTTTCTGAAATCTAGCAGTTCAATTTGTGAAATGTAAGTATATATCCTAAGACTGAGTTTTGATACCAATATTTCTTTTAGTGTAAGCAACATTACCCTCTTCCAAACATAGCAATTCAACAGTTATGAAACATGATCCTTGTGCCATGTTGGTTTGCCCTGTCTCGTCCTGAGGATGGATCTTAGTTTTGGTCAAAGCTTGGCTCTCTGGAAGTGGAATGCTTTTCCCGTACATGCCTGAGCTCCCTCCACAGGATGTTTCCTCCTCCTGAAAACCGTTTTCCACCTGTAGTCTACTTTGCACTTGAACTGTCCGAATGTTGACCACAGTCCAGGGTTTTATGAACACACAGGCAAACGGGCTGGAATTCTGGGACATCTCTGGAAGACATCCCTCATAAGCATGGTGTCACTGCAGCCGACCATACCGACACATTTACAATCCCAGAGATCTCTGGTGCTCAGGACAGCCCTCGTTCTGGGGGAAACTTTGGCCAGGAGCATACTGTACTTGTATTAATGAAGGATATGTATATTAATAGCTGTCTTGAATTTGTTTTGTCAATGATTTAGCGAATTGGAGATGATCCTCAGATGTCTTTTTCCAAATACGGAAAAAGCTTCCCAGCCATGGCCCCACCATACGGAGGGTGTGTTCAGCAGTCTGTAGAGAATCTGCACTGAAAACATTTTATGCATACTGAGCTTGACTTTTTTTTCATAAAAAAACAGCTCTTAACTTCTACCCGTCATTTAATGTTAAATTACCCATTTAGAATAGCAGTTTTGATTAACTTGACTTTGCTTTTCTTCATTTCCGTACAAAAGGCTTTCAGATAAGAGACAGTCTCTGTGGTATTTCATGTTAATTATGAAGTTTCTTTTATATTCTATTGCATTTTACTTTGGCAGAGTATGGCAAACTAAAATTAGGATGTTATTATTATCATGACATGAATTCTATGATATTTTGACATACAAAAACTGGAAAATGACTACATTTGTAGTTTGACAGATATTTGAGTTTATCACTGCTGAAAAGAAGAGTGTCTAGCCACAATAACTCTAATCATTTTAGAGAACTGTCCTCAAAGACTCTGAGAATCTGTTTTTCCTTATTGAGTGAAATCCTGGTTGCCTGGCACAGGTCATAAAGCAACATCTGCCAGGCAGGACCTGCCCTCTGTGTTCCCCCCCCCGTCCTCCCCCACACCCCACTCCACTGTCCAGTTCTGGATTAGAGCTGGCCTAAGCTACCCTCAGCATGCCACTCTGCATGGATTAACTCCTGCTGAAGCTCCACTGCTGTCACACTCTAACCTGCAATCACCAGTCTCTTGTGCTAAGGGCACTTGTGACAAACATTTAGGAAGGATTACTGGAGTTCGCTGCAAGCACAATGGGGGGCGTCCGTCCTGTTTTTGTGCTCTGTCAGAGTAATGTGTTTTTCTGAGCCCGACCGGGTTCAACAGCAGCCAAGCCCTGAAACGGACAGCCCTCCATCGCTGCCGATTCATCGCGCGTCCCCAGAGTTCATTAAGAAAACGATTCAAGAAGCAGAAGCAACCGGTGCTGAATGTCATGTGATATGAAAAATGGTTTTGCCGGATGCAGTCATGCTATCCTCTTCCATGCTGATGTGCAAAAGCTTCACTGCTTGTTCTTGATTTCTATGATTATTCAGTCACTCAGTTCTATTAGATTAAAGCAATGACATTCAGTAAAAGCCTTCACATAGAACCCCCCCCACACACACACGCATACACACACACACACACACACACACACACAGACTATGCGACGGAGACGGTGATTAGCACGTGTATGCTCATATATGTGATCTGAAACTCACAGGAAAACCTTCCAGACCATACGACGGCTCCAGAACTGGCCCCACATGCTCAGCACAGTTTGGGAGCGCGCTTACAGCTGCACTCCACTGAGCACTAAACTGATTCTCATCAACAAATCATTAATCATGTCACCGGGTGGGTCTGAGCGATGGCACAAACCAAGCCACCTGTAGACATCCCGATTTCCAGGCTGCTCTGTGGACATTACGGCAGCCTGAGGCATGGCTTTGTTCCAGCACCAGCACATGCCTCATCCTCTCAGCTGAAGAGGAGCGGAGCGGCAGGCAGGGGGGGGGGGGAGGCTAGATTCTCTGCTGCAGCAACAGTTGGCTGTCTGTCGACTGAGAGGCAAAGAGTGCGCTGCAACTCGGAGACACACAACATACGTGCGCACGGACATGTGCCAGGCAATTGGAGATGGAAATGGGTGTCTGAGGGGAAGGAGAGGAGAAAAGGTAGCAGAATAAGCCACAAAGCCACCGGGCTGGAGGGATGCCTGGCAACCGGGGGCAAAAATGGAGATGCTGTAATAAGAATAAAAGGAAGAGGAGCAACTGAGGGGAATGGACACATGCACACGGGGACGCACCGACAGTACACAGGGACGAAGCACAGATCAGCACTCACTGGAGTCGTCTGAGTCGTAGCCCTCCACGTCCGGCTCCTCGTCCCTCCTGCCGGCCTGCGGGGGGGCAGAGGCTCCGGCACACGCCCGCTCCGAGCCGTCCTCATCGGGATGCTCACTTTCAGCAGAGCTGTTTGCAGAGGCGGCGGCCGGGGGGGCGCACAGGGCAGAGCGCTGGGGCCCGGCCTGGGGCGCAGCGGGGGGGAGGCCCCGCGGGTACCGAGGGAAGTAGTCCGAGATCTGCTTGATGGGCTGAATGGGGCCAGGGCACACGTCAATGGCCATGTGCTCCTGGATGCTGATGGTGGGTTTCTCGCCTTTGCGTTGTGTCATGCATGCGGTCCAGCCCGGAGCCCACTCCCAAAACCAGAAGAATGAACTTCAGAAAAACAAAAAAAAACGGCTGGCTGAGTTTTCCTCCTGTTGCTTCTCAGAGCGGGCTGCTGTCCGGGGGGTGCTCCAGGTCCAGGTCCAGGTCCAGGTGTCTGTGGATGTCAGCACACAGGTTCTCCTGAGGAATTCCTGCTGCTTTGTCTCCTGGTGCTCTCAGAGCCAGACCATGCTGCCTGCCAGCCCTACACGCTACTACCTACCCTCCTGCTCCGTCTGCTCTGCCTACACCCCCACTCCCTGCCCACGTCTGCACCGCCTATCCGGGAGAGGGAGAAGAGCGGCTGGTGTGGAAGAGGGAGAGGGAAGGGATTAGAGAGGGAGAAGGGAGGGATCAGCTGATGTCACTGCCTAGCAACCGATCAGTAAACAGGAACAGTCAGCCGAGGTGCTTAATTATGATATTAACCCCATCCATCTGTCGGCTCCAGGGAAGATCCACAGCCATCTCAGCCCGCCGCATGAGGGAATGTGCGTTTCCTTGGTTGCAGAGACGTTTGGCTGTCCCTCTCAACCCAAAGAAGTCATCAGAAACCGATGCTGTGAGATGGTGTAGTCTACATGTATTCATTCATGTTGTTTATGCTGTCAGTGGCAGCAGGGAAACATTTAAAGGGAAGGATGGTCAGAAATGTTGGAATACTTCCTGTAAGCTTTCCTTTGCTTTAGGGAGAAAAACTACTGCAAGACAGTCCAGAGACCAGGCAACGCAAACCTGTCTTAGTGGTCCCAAACTGGCTCTGTAGTCCTCCATGTCCTCACAGCCTGATTCTAAACAAACACATAAACATCATTCAGCTTTCTTGTGCATAGACCTGCGTCCCTGTGAGCCAATTACGCACCTCGATGTTATCACACAGCTCATAATTGCTTACCATCTGTTGCAATTCAGTACACGGCAGTGGGATTGGTACAGTGTGTCTGATGTGTGTTTCCACTGTGAATGGAGCTGACTAACATGAACACGGCGCGCTGATGAAAATGATCAAGCGTAAAATTACACCTGTCTTCTCGCTGAGCATCAGTGTTACTCCACCCATACTCACACACACCAAAGCAAATAGTTCTGCTGTATCCCCGCCCAGAATCGGCCAAAGTCAGAATCCCTCTGAAGGCTTTGGCTTGTCCTGTTGCTCACATTACATTACAACAGATCCCAGCCACTGAGGAGAATCTGTTCCTGCTGATTTCTGAAAGGAACTTTAACTTCTCCTTTTACCCAGTCTCACACACATGCCACAGAGAACAGATGAAGTGGCACCCTCTTGTGTTGGGTGTTAGCAACAAATTACAGATCAAATCAGAAAGAATAATCAGATTTGCATATTTTCCCACTGGTTTTATTGGATATTATTTAACAGCTGAACTATTAGTTTTTAAAAAATTCAGATAAATTGTGAATATCATGTCAAGAAATCTACATAAGAAGAGCCCTAAATGAGAGTGGGTTGGTAAGAATATAGCTAATTAAATCCATTTTTTTTTGCATGTCTTTGTACTTCTGCTTCATTCAAGGTGTAATGAACAAAATTCCTTCTACACATTTTTTTTTTAACAGACATCCACTTTTGTCTTTGAGCTCAGTAAAAAAATAAGTAAGGTTTTTCCCATTTTGAAATGCAGTCATGTCCTCCTACAGTATATTTCATAAAGATTTTTCAACACTGACAACACAAATTCATGAAATTCTTTGTAGTTTTTTGGTCTTCCCCATCTTCCAATCAACTTGTCCTGAACTCTTTTCCTTTCACTCCTCCACACATTCACCATAAGCGACATCAGTCCATCTCTACTGTCACCAGAACTTCTCTAAAAAAAAAAAAAGTGGTTTTGAAGACAGCATAGACACTTACTGGTCTGACCATGACACACATTTCCTGTACGTGATTTCTATTACAGATGCCTCATTGTGCTTGACAAATGAGTTCATCTATTCATTTCTTTTTTACAATTTAAACCTCGTATTCTTTGTTTTGACTTCAATTTGATGGAAAATGTGTGTTGAATTGTCTTAAATCAGTGGTTTCTTTCAACATCTTTCTTACCCCATGGAAAGAAAAAACTATTTATTTATTGAATGCTAACAAGCAGCTTTGAACACAACCAAGTCCTTAATATGCATTTGCTTCAATTATCAGCAAGGCCACAAATGACCCATAAAAATAACATGACATATCTTAAGAAATCAGATATATGCTGCCTAAATCAAAGGTAAGCTTTTACCATCTTTTAGTTGTGATATAAATCCTTTAATAATGTCTTTGATAATTTGAGCATGACTGCTCACACTGCCCCCCCGCCTCTTGACCATTGGCTACTGGGATAGGCTCCAGTCCCCCCGCGACCCCATTAGGGAATAAGAGGTTACGATAATGGATGGATGGATGGACAGACGTATGGATGGATGGATGGATGGATGGACGTATGGATGAATGGATGATGGATGGATGATGGATGGCTGCTCACACTGCCATCTAGTGGCGACAGCAGCAACACACCACTCCATCTCTGCACATCCGGGCGGTCACACTCCGGTCCTGGAGGGCCGCTGTCCGGCCTGTTTTAGACATTTCCCTGCCTCTGCACACCTGATTCTGTTTAAATTGGATCTCTGCTGGACCAGGGGGGTCAAATCCACCAGGGTCGCTGTCCGGCAGGTTCTCAGAGGTTTGCCCGTCTCAGCACACCTGATTGCATCACAGTGTCATTATCAGGCCTGCACAGCCCAACAATGTCCAGAAGAGATCCAATTTAAACAGAATCAGGTGTGCAGAGGCAGGGAGATGTCTAAACCTGCAGGACTGGAGACTGACACCCCTGATATATATGATTCCACTTACCAGATCCTCCCACCGGAACGAGAGAACGTTCTACTGCATATACATGTAAGCATCATTAAGGTGATCTGTTATCTTAAGTCAATTAACGGCTTTTTTGTTGAAACAAAGAGAACATGGTGATCTAAATGAGGAGAAAATGCACAAATGGCCATTTCAAATAGAGGAAACATATTAAACAGAGTAATTCGGTGTTTTACAAAGCAAGCATTGACAAGGTTGAACAAAACTTACCTAAATTAACTGCTAATGCACTTAAATAAGCATGAAAATGCAATTTAACTGGTGCACAATCCTCAGGAAGGGAATAAGGCTTTGACTTATGTATATCACACTTAACAAAGGTAGGTAACGATGTCCCCTTTCACCAGGATGTCCGGTTTCTCCCTCATGTGGTTCCATTCAGTTTTTATTGCTATGAGTTTTTTGTTGTTGTCGTTGTTACTTTAGGGTCAGAGCCCCGGAAACTGTGGAGAATGTTCAGTTTTAGTGAAGCAGCTTGTGTCCAACTGCATCTGAGAGTAGATAAACGTCCAACTGATGCATGGGAGTCTTAGTGATATAATCAGTCCAATTTACATATTTACATGTATCCTATACATTGAGTAGTTATTTGTTCTGAGTAGATTATCTTTGACAGGACAAACATTTTGCATCCAGCATTTATTCAAACTAACCCTTCAACTCTTAATGGATGGGCTGCTTTTACTGTTAAAGCAGCCACATAACGGCTAAAAACCTTAACTGGTGTAGCTTTGGAAACAAGTCGGACGTGTCAACTTGGAGGTGCAGTTTTCTTATATCCACTGACCTGTAGGTCTGCTTTATTGAACTGTGTGAGCTGGCTGTGTTTCAGAACTTTAAGGTTATAAATCTGAGAGGTAATTCTGGTTCATCATATATCACCAACATACAACAATATGTGGGAAAATGGGTTAAAACACTATTTTTTACCCTTGAAGTGTAACTCCTGAACAAGTCTCCTGCTTTTCCTCACATTCCTGCAGGAATCATTTGAACTCCAGACTGTGATTTTCACTTTTTAATAATTTATGTATGCTTTAAAACAACACAGATTTGAAACCATTAAAATAAATAAGCTTGAGGGGTTCATCAACCAGCCAAGGTCCCACAAATGTTTTGCTGGAAGTTAACTTGCATCAGGGGAAAGAGAGACACTGATTCAATCACTTTGATGCAGTATTGATAGGAGGCCCACTGCCAGCATCACACTGAACTGCCAAGTGTTGTAAAAGCTGAACAGGCGCTATTCTCCAGCCCCGTACCTTTCTGGAAACTGTTCAGTCAGACAGCTTGAACCTGGCAAAAGGCTCTAATGGTTTGTGGTGCTTTTGTGAAAGGAGCAGATTAAAAGAACCAACATTATTCAATCTATTAGGGAGCTGCTTATTCTTCCTACCCGATAGATTGCATGAGCAGAGCCCATGTTTTAGTAAAAGTTATGTGCTGTTGACTTTCGTATTTATAATGCCCTTAACTTATCTATGAGCTTGAGATGTGCAAAGGAAACGTACAAGAGCTCACTGTGCTCTGTGTCCTCTAACGAATTACGTGACCATCACAATTAGCTGTCACATTCCCCCTCATTCTGAGCTCAAATCAGAACCAGAGACAAGGAGATAAAAGTGCTGTGGGGAATAAAACATAAAGTAAAAAATCTAATCAATCCAGAGCAGTGTTTCTCAGCCCTGGTCCTCAGGGCCACAGCCTGCACGTTTCCATCTGTGGCAGCTCCAGCGTACCTGATTCAGGAGACTGTGTGCTTATCATCCTGCTGCAGAGCTGAGGGGCTGATCCTCTCTGAATCAGGTCTGCTGGAACCGGGACAACTGGAAACGTGCTGGACTGTGGTCGCTGGGCACCAGGGTTAGAAAAAACACTGAGCCAGAGGCAGCTTCTAGAAAAAAAGTGTCAACAGAAAAATGATGACATACTTAAAAAGTCTGTTTCCATATGAACACTTGTGTCTGGCTTTAGCTCAGGGCAGTGTTGGGTTTTATTCTCCATGCCCATGGCAGCCCTCTGAAATGCCCACAAAGGAAACATCTGACAGATGTGATCAGCCCCGACACACATGCACACATCCCACACTCCAGATGCTGTTCATTCAGGGCTAAAACTACCCTGTTAAAGCGGCTTCAGAACTGCACCACCAGTTTGACCAGTTTCAGGAGATCTTTAGAAAATATCAAAAACCATATATCATCACTCTTGTCCTCACACTTCCACACTGAGTTAAAAGCCCAGGATTGTCAGAATATAACATTTCTATCATTTCTCCTTCTAACAGCAACCCGGTGAAACAAATCTCATGCAGAAACTGAGACAAGAGGCCAGTCAGGGAGAAGAGTCATTTCATTTTTTGAGACAGTTTATTTAAACTTGAATTAATTTACAGCAGTTCCACTGGAGAGGAAAAGGGGTTTGAACGAAGCCACATTAAAACCTATGGTTTTCTCTACTGTATGTACAGGGAGGAGGATGCAGCACGACAGTGCAAAAGGCACAAAGTTGGCTTAATACTTGCCTGTAAGCTCTGCTAACATGACAGCAAGGATAGGAGAATGAGATGGCAGCCTTTCGTTGGAGGTTTCTACAGCTGCATGTGATGCAAACGCTATTGTGACAGGGTGAAACTTAGGAGAACATGGCTCCTCTACTTTTACTGCAGCCTCTCGTAGGGGGAGGACACTCCCAACTGCTTCTGAAGAGCTTTTCTTTTGCATGTAGACGTGACAGGTAGTCGTTTAGGTTTCTTTGAGCTTACAAGTGATAAGATGGGTATAATGCTTATTTGAGAACGATAAGTAAAGAGTGTTTTACTGTGCGAAGTAAAGACAGAGACAAGTGAAACTGGACAATATTAAGGCAATCCGGAGTAAAACAGATGCAGTTCTATCCAAAGAGGACAACAGAAAACCATTCCAGTAGATAAGAAGCAGGTAAATGTAGCTACCAATGTTTGGCAATAATAGACATACTGTATTCACACTTTTTCATTTTCTTTAAGTCGCATAGAGTCTTTCACTCTGACACTGTTCAGACACACTTCTCATCCAGCTGTCATGTTCCCAAATAGATCCAACTGTGGGGGGGGGGGGGGGGCAGGACATGCGATGGTGGCAGAAGTAAGAGGCTTTTGCTCCAACATTAGACAAACTGGATTTGGGAAGACTTGTACACTAGAATCATTCCACGTGGAGAAATCACAACCACAAGGACCAAAGTCAAACAAATCATTCACCACCCCACACTGGCTCAGACCCCCCAAGATGTAGGGATACGACTAAATGAGCAGAGATTCAATTCTCCCACAAAAAAAAACTGATTCTTTTTATCTTTTTTTTTTTAAATGAACACTCAAACGAGAACACAGTTCAAGTAAAGCCTTTCAAACAAAACAAAAAACAGACATAGTTCAAATCAATTGGAATTCTTGCATCTCAGATTTTGATAATGCTGCTTATAAAAAGTACATTCAACAGGTACATTAAATATGGAACGGAATTATAGTACAGAGGTAAGTAAAAGTTGTCAGTAATTGCTTTTGGAAGCAGAAATCTTACTTAACAAAGACGGGGAAACGCAGCTAACTTCCATTCTCTGCCCCTCCACCAGTAAGCCTGATTTCACAGTTTTCTGTGGGCTGGAAGTGGCCATGAAGGAGCTTTTAGTGAACGGCAGCTAAAGGTAGCCTCTCCCTTCCTAAAGACGTCCTGAACCAACACAGGCTCAGTCACACACTGACTTAACATTTTGTTGTGATACAACACGTTAAACTTGTATTTAATCAGAAATACAAGTATCAGACAAAAGCAATCAGGTTTAGGCCGTGTTGTTTACTTAACATCAGCCAGTTTACAGGTGATGAGAAACAAAAATAAATCTGAAAACTATGAAAAGATGCAAGCGTGTGCGACTGATACCATTTAGCCCAAAATAAAAACTTCAATAAAAGAAACAGAATAATCAAAGGAAAACGCAGCAATCACATTATAGTTCCAGTGTATAACCCACAGGGCAATGTGATGGAAAACATACTGAACAAAATCCATAACCAGACTTTTATGAAATCAGAAATGAGTGTGTTTTTCTTTTTCCCTTCCAACCTAGTTTTGGGTTGGGTGGGGGTTTTTTCAGTTGGCTGCGGGTTGGCTCAACAACATGCTTCCCACTGGACCCATTCACAGGGGGAAAAGTGTCCAGTTTGATTTCAACCCGAGAATCAGAAACAGTGTGGAGAACTGTGGAGAAAAGGGCCAGAGAGCAGTGTGGGACAACAAGACAAGGCTGTCCCCTCCTTCTGTCAACATGGAGTCCACTGTGGGTAAGGCAAGAAAACACTTTGTTTCATAGAGGTGCAACGGAGAAAACATCACTAAAACGTCCCAAAACAACCCGCTGCGGAGCCGCCTGGCAGCCCAGAGAAGCCCAGAGAAGCCCAGAGGCAGGTGGGTGGTGAGGGACAACAGAAGGCAGACGGACGAGATGACCGCCACAACCCACAGGACGGGGGGGTGACGCTTACCTAACTGCCTTACAAGCACGCTTAGAAACTGAGACTCCTTCAGTTTCCCAGTGAAGGGAATCCTAAATCAATGTGCAGAGCACAGGTGAGCATCCCGGAGCGCTCGGCTGGACACACTGAGGGACCTGTAGTGTGTGGAACACACACAGTCTGATAAGACTTTTGCACATGCCAAACTTTGTGCAGAAAAAGGTTCTTTTATCTGCCCGTGTAAGCTGTGATGAGAGAACGGGATTAACAAGTGAGTTAAGCACCTACGACTATTTGTGTGTTTTAATTCTCTATAGTTTCCTTTTATGGACCAACACAGCATGCTCTGTCATCGTAGGGCAGACGGAAAACACTGCTTACACACCTCATCAGTCTGAGCAGGACACTGATTGGAGTACATCAAATTACACAAAATGACGTGAAGGGGAAAAAAAGGGGAAATCCTTTTCTGTGTGTGAGCTTCTGCTTCAGGGTCTCCTGCTACTGCATGTTCTGGCATGGCACGTGGCTGTCAGGCAAAATAAGACGAGTGAACAAAAAGAGAGACGTTTTGCACAGAAAATCAGAATTCCTACAAATATTTACACCACAAATACAGGCACTTGTATATCTTTGGTTGGAGAAACCCAACATTGCGTGAGTAATGCATTCACAGAGCTGTTGTGTCCCTTATTGTATCTTCGGGTATCACTAGGCAACTGGGATGTGTATCTTTATTTCCTCTGTTTGTCCATGTTACAGGTAACTTCTGGCAGAGACTTCATTAGTCTTTTTACCCCTCTGACAGAGCCACCTGAAACACAAGGAAAGTGTCTGAGTACTAACACGTCACCACTGATAACTGGAAAAAAGACACACACTGTTTCATCTGTACGGCGTAAGTTAAAGTAGAGACTGAAGGAATTTTGCCCCATACATTCTTCATGTCTCCAAGGGAGCAGTAACAGTGAGAAAGAGAGGAAGCCTCAAACTGATTCCCACCATTGGTTACATAACACCACTAGCCACACTACGAAGTGGACAGGTCAAGGAGAATTGAATAAGTCAATTTGTTTAGAGAAGGAAAAAAAGCGGGAAAGACACATGAGAGATGGTTTTTCTGACCGATGGCTGGTCAGCCGAGGCGCTGCTGGAACTACCTGTTGAGCTCATATAGCACTGCTGGTGTCTGTTGTACCTTCTCAGGGCAGAAATCGGGGTTGGTTTGTCGCACTTTGCCAGGCCGCCCCTTTATGACTGCGTAGCAGAACATAGTGATGACCATGACAAACAGGAAGTAGCTAGTGTGCATCAGGTGAAGGTTGATGAGGGAGCGATCATCCTGGGGAGGAAAGAGTTAAGACCGTTAAAAGTCACCCAGATGTTCCACACACCTTTAGAGTCAAAGGACACATCAGATTTCCAATGACACAAACCAGTATTATGTTCAGTAACTGCCTTTATGCTCCTCTCCTGGCCTCCCTCACCCTGAGGACATGATCTACTCTACCAGTTAAGCTACCGAGGTGAAATGTTTCAAGCCTACTGTGAACACTAGCTTAATATGAAATGCCAGAGTATCTTCATTTGATGGCTCACCCTATGACCCCCCCTTTCCCCCCCTCCGGCGAGGCCTGATGATGAAGGCTGACCCTGTCATCACCCTTTCATTGTGGGCTCAGATCAGGTAACTGTGGGCACAGCATATATTTCCCTGCTGCCTGGGTGGAACATTCTGTGCCCAGCAGAGGCCTGTCAATGTGATCATTGTAGTCCTGGAACAATCCACCTCCATCAGCAGAGCCCACCCAGCTCTTGGAGTGGTCAGTGTTTGACCGTGTTCACTTTGCAACATGAGAGATTTGATCTCTCTCAGTTATTTGAACAGCAGTTGATATGTGTAGCATAAAAATCAAGCAAGGTAACGCTGAATAACAGAGCATCCTCATCTAGATAAAAAAAACAAGATCATGCAAGAAAGTGCTCATTATAGAGTCTTGTACTTTAAATGGACTTTGTTTCGGAACTAAAAAAGCCACAACAGAGGAAAACAGAGTGACAACAGTGCTTAGCAGCAGGTCTGTTGGCTGTGTGCCAGCTAAGTGAGGCATCATGCCAACATTAGACCACTTATCAGAAAATGGGAGGCAGAGACTCACGTCAGGAACAATGACGGTGAGCTTTGGGTTGAGTGCATGGTACACTTTGCCGATTGCTCCTTTGTAACACCAGAAGGGGTTGTAGTCCTGACTGTACTTGGTGTCGGAGTCTCGGACTGTGGTGAACACCTTGTACCAGGACGTGGCGTTGGTGTACGTCTCTGGGACGCAGTGTGGCGGCTGCCTGCAAAACAAACGTGGAACTCCTGTGAGTGGAGCTGTGGAGCTGCATGGAACTGCTGTGTCCTTATTCCAATAAATCTAAGTGTGCTGGTCCTGACGACTGCAAAATCTCATCTAAACAGCATGGGGATAATACCCCCCCCATTAAAAACAATACAAAACAAACCAAGCACATATGAGAATGTTTTGATAACACGTTTAGTCACAGCAGCTGTTTTGTCATACTGCAGTTCACAGTTATGCCACCAGGGGTCCGTCCCAGGTACCAAAGGGACAAACTACCTGGAGGATAACTCACATAAAGTCACGCCTGCCACAAGAAAAAGAAAACATACGTCTTAAGGAATCCAAATCAGCTGTCTGAAAGCTTCTTGGTCTCCATTTGTAAACTATTTTTAGTCTTTGAAGGTTCTGTGTGGCATTCACAGCCTGCTGTGTGCGCAAGTTTCTCACATGATTTATTCTTTCTCCTTTTGCCAGCTTAATAGAAACTAAATGCTTTGGTGTGCCTTGTGCAATGGCAAAGAAAAGCCCTGGAGCACATTTAGCTGGCATGAGGCAGAGCACAGACCAAACACTGCCTTCTCATCAAGTTCCTGTAGCTCACCTTAGAGCTAAAATGGGAACTGTTTAAACCTTGGGAGCCGAAACTGCTACCTTACTAGTGGCCCCTTTTCAGACACTAAGCAGGGTAGAAAATGGTCCCAGAGGAATTTTTTCTAGGGCTGTAAGAGCACTTTTTGTTATATTAGACCACATTTGCAGAATCTAGTTTTTGGGGTAAAATAAACATTGTCCTCTGCAACAGAAAAATCTGCTCACAACATTTGTCACTGAATGTGATGGTGATCAAAAGCCAAAAAGTGACACCAATTAATAATACAGAAAAAAAGACTAAACGCCTGAAAATGGTCAAAATGGCACACCTGTGCTGAAATGCATGTAACATGTAAAAGACAAATCAGAAATTTAACGGTTGACAGTTTTTCAGTGTTTTTCTGCCACTGATGATCAAGCAGCAAAAACGTAATCAGAAATAAGTATTCCCATGACTGGGGGAAGCCGTCCAACTCACACTGTGACCGGGAAGATATTGCTGGCTGCTGTGATAGTCATGCAAGTGCTGAACACCACCTGCTCACAGTGGCCGTGCAGAACACACTCATCTGAGTTCCAGGACACCGGCAGGGTGAAGGTGATGTTTATTTCCTCATGGGCTTCCCGGCCTAGTCACAAAAACAGGTGAAGATGCAGTGAGGTCAATGTTGAATTATTTCAGCTTTCTATTTTACACAAAGATGATTCATGTTGGCGACTTTGAGTCACAATACAACCAAATCTAACTTTCCTAACCAGTGTTCTTATGTGAAACAGTATAAAAAAGTACCACAGCAGCAAGTGGGGCAGAGCTAAGCATTAATATGGGACAGTAAGAAGAACTACCTCCATGATAAAAAATGAGGGACTAAACTGTGTGCTGATTCAATAATGATTAAACTGTGAGGGAGATAAGAATATTTGGAGCTGAACAGAGGAGACTCCTGGTTAGAACTGACAATGGAGATTGAGTCAAATAACCGGAGAGGACATAAAATAAGGAGTATGATGCTGCTGTGCTTCACTTAAACATCCATTTGTAAAGGCATTGTTTATAAGAGCTCCTTTTAATGGCCTGTCCTGCTTTTTCTCTGGGAGCTCAGGAATGCACACACGAACACTACTGGAAACCTGTTGTAGCATCTCCTGGGAACACCGTGTGACTTCCTCTGCTGCTCAGGGCCAGAGCAGACCCTGAACTGTTGTTGTTTGGCAGCAGAAGCAGAAGTCAACAGAGCTTTCAGGGCCCTGGGTACGGCAGACCTGCCTCGGTGGCAGCACAGCGTTAGATTTGTTACTTCTTCCAGCTGTGAAGTACAGCTGAATAGTACAGCCATTCTTTTCCAGCTTAAAGGGCACCTGCTGGTCTTTGATCATTCTAGAACCATTCTGCACTATAGGCTCTGCAGGTGCTCATTTTGAGACACTGGCTGAAAAGTACCAGTAAAATGGTTCACATCTGGACTTCAGAATCCAGACAACCAAAGGAGCAAAAATATACACATATAGTTCGCTGTGGTCTCATTTGTTTGTTGTTTAATCTCCGATTCTCCTTGACCAGTCCCCTATTAGAAAAAGATAAACTAAAGACCTCCACTGGGGCTGTGGAGCAGAGCCTATACGCCTGATCTGAGGAGCGCTTCATTACTTACCACTGACGAATCAAGTCTCTGCAGCTCCAATGAAAGAACAGGTTTTCCTGCTGATACAGGATTATATCCTGCTGTGCATGGTATATAAACATGAGCTTCCCTTTGTTCATCCATTCTGAGACATCTAAAAGGCTACTTTATGTCACTGTGGACTAGCAAGGCTTCTAATATGATATACAGCACAAGTTAAAAGCCAAGAAAAGGTCAAAAGAAGCGCAGCAGATGTCATTACACTTTCACAACAACAAATCTATTAGAACAGTAAAATTAAGTAAATAAATCTGGCATAAAGAGGAAAGTGTAGCGCAATCAGATGCACTCTTTGTATGGGTGTTAAGTGTCTGAGCCTGATTCAAAGTGGCCCTCAGCCATCCTCCATGGCTACACACACTGACACTGTCAACATCTAAAACACCACAAGGAGCAAAACGCACAAATGCTGTTAGGTCCTAACTTAAGATACAGAAGTTGCATAGAAGTTTTTAGGATTCACTTTCCTTCGTTTCACCATCTAAAACCATTTCTCAAACCCCTTAAATGTAAGCCCTATAGAACAGTGTCCCCAGAGAAGGTTAACGTTACACAAAGCCCCCACTGTTTGCACATTATTCCTCACAGACTTCCCAGAACAGGGATGTAAGGTAAAACCTATTTAAAGGTGGAATTACCACGTCCAAATGAAGGAATTCATTGAACTTGCCCCATGCACACATTCCATGTCTGTGACATCCATATATCACATCACTACTCACTCTGCATGCATACACACAGATAATAGTGCACGTGTACCGCCTAACCAGCTTTTCCCACAACTCCTAAGGAAAAGGCAAAAAGGGGCAGTGAGCCTACCCGACAGACCAACTTGCTGACCCAGCACTGTGGCATACAGGTGGGTGATGTTGCGGGAGTAGCCCCCGAACGGGCGCTGGGGGTCCAGCGTGAGCGTGATGGGCACGGAGATGTTGATGGGACCCGCGTCCTCCAGCAGGACCGGGGCCTGCGTGCTGGAGCGGGCCTGGCCGCTGGTCACCACCAAGCTCTCCGGCGTGGTGGACTCATTCAGGCCGTGCTTTATGGTCTCATTCTCGGACACGCAGAAGTCCAGCTCATTGAAGCGTAGCAGAAAGGTGTTCCAGTCCTGAGAGAGAGGGGGAGACGTCTTCCAGATGAATCCTCCAAACTGCCCGTTCATTTGCATGCTCTCTTTGTTTACATTCACAGGCAAAGCTTTGTTTCCATGCGTGTACTGTCTGTATGTGACAAAAATCTTTTGGCTGGGTAGACTTTGTCTGTCTATGCATGTTCACAGCTTAATAAAAAGAGGCAGTGAATGCCTCCACATGTAGTGGTGGTAGCAGCTCACAAGGAAACTTAAGAGATAATGATGAACCCTCTTTTATGGAACTGTGCCAGTTTGCCTTACCTCTGTCAACTCTGGAGACTTGATCTCTTTAATCTTAAAGAAATAGCCAATGGTCAGGAAGGCGATGGCCACTGCACTGACGCTTATCATGAAAATGACCAGAGGTGGACGGTTATTGATGTAGCTTCTTAGGTTCTCTATAGGATTTAACAGGTACACCTGTGAGAAGAGACATAGGACAGTTAATGACAGGCAGCGTGATTACTGGAACGGAATCTACTTGATATTTCTCTGTTTCTTGGCTATCTGTGTAACCCACGCGTTGGGCCAGCGTGTCGACGGCTGCCACAGCTCCAGGGAGCCCATCACAAGAAGGGTTTTAGCTACCAGCCCAGACACAACACTGCTGGTTTTGTTTTAATCCTGTGAGTCTGTGTCATCAGGACAAACAATGTTCCTGGAGACACCCACTGTAGCCGCACGCGGCCAGCTCTGAGAACCCTGAGCACGGCTTCTGCCAAGAGCACACAACTGTTAAAGGGTGGGCAGAAAGCATCCGCAGCTGCAACTGAATGTACTACCACAACTCAGAGCATTGAGTTGAAGTCACACATTTGTGCGTTTAGATGCCATAATGTTTTCTCACTTACTCTGAAGAGGAAAGAATATTAGCTTGCTCAAGTTTTTGCAAGCAGGTGAGCAATGTCAATTATGTGGATCATACAAAACATCAGCAGTCAGCTGAAATGGAACAACTAAAACAATCCTGGTCAGGGTTCCCGTCCGGATAAGACCCTGATGGAACAACCTATTGACCTCACGAGACGCATAGCATTATTTTCAGAACCATTTCAGAACCCTCTGGAATTCAGGCTGGAAAATTACCATCCAATAAATTCAGAAATCAAAACAAATGTCTCAAAAGAATGTATTGGACACTAAAATTAAGCAGTAGCATTAAAATCATTCCATTTAACAATACCATGCAAATCAAATGTTCAGGAAGTGCATTACAGGGGAAAAGAGTGTGTCCTTTAGCACAGTAGTGTCGCCGTGAATACAAATACTTCCTGGTTGTGTTAGTCGTCTGGTATCATCACATTCGTCCCTCTGCACACACCTATTTCTACCAGGTTGCGTTGTTTAGCAGCACCTTGTGAGCCCTCCTGCTCCAGTGCACACCACAGAAATCACACCGTCCTGAGCTGTTATTCATTAGACATTCACATTTGATAAGCATTAGCTACCTTTATGGAATGCCAGGGGCTCAAACTAAGACAAGGCAGCTGTAATGGAACCTACTGTAAACATGTTCTCAGCCCTGTAGCACGACGTTCCCGCCCCGTGTCTCACTGACAGTTAGGGTTTGGGAAACAACGACGAAGCAGAAACATCTAGAAACGTTTGGTGTCTATGTTTAATGAATGCTTGCAAAGTTTGATTAAGCCAAATGATCACTTCTCACCATTTTTCCTCCCTGTGCACGCGGCGGATGCTAGCTGGGAGGTGCGTTGCGGGCCACAAAGCTGCGGTTCGGTTAGCTAGGAAGCCTCTGCACAGCTAGCCCCGTGACGCTAGCCCGCTGGGTTAGGCGAAGCTAGTCCCGGTTCCCTGTGCCGTTCAGGAGCAAAAGTATGTGTTCGGTGGAGACAATCAGGCGTTTAGCGTACGAAGTATCACGTATACTCCTTCCCATGCTTTTTGTTTAATTCGACTGCGGCTCTTCTGAGAAATGTATTTTGCGTACAGGCTACAATAACGTCAGTGACGTGCCTCAGTCCTCCCTCCCGACATCTAGTCCGCGTCCCAGCACTGCGTAGTAAAGCCGTGGCAGCGCCGCAGTCTCGGTATTTCCAGAAAACGTGCGTCCGTAAATGTGCGTACGAAGGCTCATGATGGATTTAAGTACGCAATTTACGTTGCGTGGACGCGTACAGACTGTTTACAAAGTGTTGGAGGCACTCCAAGATTAGTGTACCGTAGAAAACACAGTGACTTTCGCAGGCTACATGTTTAATTTGTTTAATGCTGAATCAAAGGGTTGTGTTACAGCATCTACATACATGTACCATACTTTTTATGTTTCCTTTAATATTTAAAAGTAACATATTGACAATAGATCCTGATAACATCTGTGATATCAGCGCTGATATTGCAAATGTATTAAATAGTCTACCAAAAAAAGTGAGAAAATAACGTTAGAACAATCTAGGAAGTATTAATTTAATCATGAATACAAAGGATGAGTTTTATTATAAAAACATGCCATCATTTGTATTTTTTTCTTTTTAACTAAGTCAAAATTAATTATAGCTAATTTAGGAGTTATTTCAAAGTTAGGCCTGCAACTTCTCTTTAATTGAGTTCTTCCTCATCGATTAATTCTGACCCGGTTCAGCAGATGGCGGTATCTCAGTCCTGAAACATGTTTGTGTGCTTCCCTACGTGCAGTCACGCATTTTCAGCTGGCACGCAATTCGTGGCATTGGCAACCTGAAGAGGCACTTCCGGTGGCTTCTCCAGGATACAACAAGTTAATGAGAGTTACACAACACATATACCGACAATCACCTTTTAACTATTAAAATAAGGCTAAAACACCGACACACAACACAAAGATGTCTAGATGCATTTATTTTGTAGATGGAAAACCGGAAGTGGAAGCAACTATATTTTTGTAATCACTGGTACTTGACACCGGAGGAGTAGTCTTCTCCTAAACAATCCGCGTGGAACATTTCAACCACTATATCACATTTTGGCAACTTCTAAAAGGTATTGTTGAGATACGTATGTAAAAGTTATGGATTAGATTTAATATTTGAGTGGGTTTTCCTTTTCTTTGTTGTAAGTGTGCAGCAGAAGGGTTTTGGCTAATGCTAACAAACCAACATTAGCCTGTCGGTTCCTTTGTGTCATCAAAGTTTCTCTTACCGCAAAGCAAACGTTTAAGTTTAATTCCTTTTTGTTAGTTCCCTTTTGTAATTTAACGTTGAGCTTGACAAATGACCTTCCGTTAAGTGTTTTTGTGGAAAAGGTTTATTTAAGTGTTTACATTTCCAAGTTATTTGTGACGATAACGTTCTTTAATCAATAATGCAGCATTTTGCTGTCTAGCATCTCTGATATCTGTCTATCTGAATGGTGATTTAAAAAGACAAGTCACCAAAATTAGAAAGCACATAATACATACACCATTGAGTCATTTAAATGTATATTTCTATGCATTTGTGTTTGACTTCCCCTGAAGTCTAAAGTCTTCCTTTTATTTCTGAAATTTACGATAAGTGTAAACAATTTCTGGTAACAAGGGGCCTTTAAATGACAGATTAAAAGCAAGGTATTGCTCTGTAAAGACACTTTAAGTTATGAGAAATGGCCCTGGGTTCACATTTTACTTTACATTTATTTTATCCCATCAATGGGGTTTAACAGTTTCACTCCTAATTCTGGTGTTTTAGGGAAAATACAGTTAAAGAAGACATTCCTCAAACTTATAGAACTTAATTTCCAGGAATAAGAAAAAAGTTTGATCTGCTGTTGAGAACTGAGGACTTGTTGCTCAAGTAACACCAGCAATGTTAACTTGTTAAGCAAGTTTTGAGCTGCTGTTTTTGAGAAGCAAAAGACGAATATTTCTAAAACGCGAGGAAGAAAAGTTGTAAATCTAACAATTAGTAACGCTTAAGTCTAGAAAAGAAAAAACTAAAGTGCAAAAAACAAAATTTGTCCATCACAATTTTTGAGAGAACAAAAGTACCCCTATTTTATTTATTTTGATGGAATTAGAATATAATAGAATTACATTTCTGTGATTTTAGGGTTTTTACTAAACTTAGAAAGTGAAAAGAGTTGCCATAGTTTGCTTTATATTATTTCACTTTTTTAAATGTGTGCATTGGATTTAGGATCAACATTCAAGTGAACACTGAAAGGTTGAATCAAATATTATTTAAAATTACAACAGAGGTGAGTTTGGAGCGTTTAAGATGTATAAAAGAGTACTCATAGCATGCTAATTCTTTCTTGATCACAATGAGAGGATTTGACAGCCTTTTAATATTAAGATTCTTTCATTCATATTTTTCTGATGTACATGCAGAGATTGTAAAAGTCAGTAAAAAAAGGGGATGAGCTTGACACCCAGTAGGAGTGGCTCCAAAATATGTTCTAGGGTTGTCCAACGCCGGTCCTAGCGGGCAGGTGTCCGGCAGGTTTAGAACTTTTCTTATTTCAACACCTCGGTGGAATGAGTGGTGGAAAATGGATGGATGGATGATTTGAATTTAATGGATCTATTCCAAAGTTCTGTGCAGTCCTGTATGGTGCAAAACAGGGAAACATGCAGGTCATGCCCCTCCTGGATCAACTTTGGGCCCCCCCGATCTATCAAATAATCAACTTTCTAGTTTCTCAAAATAATGACCTAATTCGAAAGAAAAGGCCAAAGATAGACAGGTGGCAAGCATCGCCCCAAACCAAGATTTCCACAACCACGACCAAATGTATTCAGCTAGCGAATCTGTTAAGTTTATTTAGCTTTTATAGTTGTACAATATCCTGAATTAGTCAGAGCCTTGTTGTCTCCACTGGAAGGTCCTCATGTCTGAACAGTTTGGTGGTATCAATGTTAAATGAGTCTCGGATTGCAGTTTATCTGCTATTGAAATATGTTTAATGTGTACAATTGTGGCCTTTTCAGGAACTGTAAATGTAGTTTTGGAGCTGAACTGCAGCTATGGAAAGTTCATAGAGACATGAATGCTGTTCGTTGTCAAAATGCATCAAGTATTTGGTTGTCGCAAGTCAGAAACTGTCTCTCCTCTAACTGTTGTGTCTCTTGGCTGTTTCAGAGTCGAATGCTTCTGTAGCACAGCTACATGCAGAAACATATTCCGTTACTGCTTCAGAAGACTCTCTGTGCAGTACAGCAGGCGTGTGGAAGAGCTGTCAGATGTCAGCAGGTGTCCCTGGTGTGCAGAGTTTCCCTTCACTGGTGCTGCTCTGAACATCTACACCCTCCTGTTTATGCAGGACCGTTTTCAGAGACACGTCTCACATCAGGACCTCCTAAAACCAGTCTCCACCAGATCTCCCCTCGCTGGCCTGTCCTCCATCAGCGCGTCTCTCACCGCTCAGATATGTCCGAGCAGAGGTTTCTGGTGGAATATGCCAAGCGCGGCACCGCCGGCTGCAAGAAATGCAAGGACAAAATCCAGAAGGGCATCGTGCGCATTGGGAAGATAGTCCCCAACCCCTTCAGCGAGTCGGCAGGAGAGATGAAGGAGTGGTACCATGTGAAATGTATATTTGAGAAGCTGGAGAGGTCAAGAGCCACCACAAAGAAGATCGAAGACATCACAGAGCTGGAGGGCTGGCAGGAGCTGGAGGATGATGACAAGGAGCTCATCAACAAACACGTTTCAGGTACAGCTACTTTTAGCTCCCACATAAGAAGGGACTATGTTCAGCACGCTAGTTAGCAGAGACGATGAAGCAACCCTTATCTGGTGGGGGTTTATGGGGAATGTAAACAAGGTTGTGTTTATTTATTTTCTTATTTTATTGTAAAGAAATCACTTAAGATGATGATTGAGAATGACAGTGGGCAAAAGACAGTATGTGACCATGTGGAAATATGGAGTATGCAGCTCCCTTTATTGGTCCATTCAGACGTCACTCATCTCTGACCTGTTTCTAATCTAAAGCCAATGTGAGTCATAGACGTGAATGTTTCATTGTTCTAAAACCTGTTTTGTAGACCTCATGGCTAAAGTCAATGCAAGTCCAAAGAAGAAGGCGCAAGGCAAAGCTAACGCCACGAGTCAGCCGGTGGCCGACGCCTCAGTCAACGCACCGCGCAAGTTTTCAGGTTTCACTGGTAAGACACCATTAAAGTTCAGCCCCCAGCAACCAGAGGCTACCGGACAGAAAGCTAAACAATTCCATGCTTCTGACACCATAAGTAAGACAAACATTAGATCAGAAAGCTGAGTTCTTTGTATGTTCTGTGGATAAAGTGTGTTAAGAGGTAACACATTCCCACCAGAGGCAGACAGGTTAGCTACCCGTGTTTACAGTGTGCTGGCATCAGTTAGCCAGTGTTGTTCAATTTGTTATTCGCCGTAGAGTAGAGGCCTTTTTTAGGCATTAAACCAGCTTGGAGACGCACAAGAAAACTTAGGCTGCAGTTTAAAGCTGTGCTGCTGTGTTGTGCAGAACCTCCGGATAACGGATTAAACGGCAGTATGTGTGTGGAAGCTGCTTTACAAGATGCTAAACTGTTAAAAGGAACATTGTCCCAGCTACACTGCCTTTGTAAGGTGTTAAAATTTGAGCACATTTTTGAGTTTCAATAGGAATAACAAACTATCATTGAATTGGTGTCTGAGAGGCATCGGAACAGGGACATGTTTGATTTTAGGGTTCCCAACTCCAATCCTAAAATGAACAAAGAGAAGCTTTGAATGAGGTCAGTAGGTGATGCTGCTTCCCTGTCACATCAGCTGCAAAGGCCGGCAGCTCCAGCAGCCCCGGAGCCCCCCCCGGAGCCCCCGCCGGAGCCCCCGCCGGAGCCCCCGCCGGAGCCCCCGCCCTGTCCTCGCAGCTCTCTGACCCCCGGCACAAGGACTGCCTCCTCCGAGAGTTCCGCAAGCTGTGCGCCCTGGTGGCCGAGAACAACAGCTACAACACCAAGACCCAGATCATTGAGAGGTTCCTGAAGAAGGGTTCTGCTGGAGGTAGGCCTGTCTCTGTTAGCCGCTTTAGCTGTGAGGGACGGCGGCTTTCACAGTGGGGTCTCTGCTTTCCATCCTCAGACAGATTCCATGGAGATCTGTATCTGACGGTGAAGCTGCTCCTGCCCGGCGTGGTAAAAAGCGTCTACAACCTCAACGACAAGCAGATCGTAAAACTCTTCAGCCGCATATTCAGATGCGACCAGGAGGCCATGGTGCGAGACCTGGAGCAGGTCTGTTGTCCAGCAGCTAGCATCCTCTATCCACTATCATTTTCTGATGCCTTATCACTGCCCTCATTATTGGAATTCATTTGGAGCTCATTAAGGAAATTTTACATGTTATAACAAAAATAGATGTTCAGATTGTCAAAATGAAACGGGTTTATTATTTCCCATTTGAAGGGCGATGTGTCTGAGACTGTGAGGATATTCTTTGAGGAGAGTAAATCTTTTCCACCTGCTGCCAAAAGCCTCCTCACCATCCAAGAAGTGGATGCATCCCTGACCCGCCTCGCACAGCTGACCAAGGAGGATGACCAGCAGGGCGAGCTGGAGACCATTGCCAGGAAGTAATGCAGCCACTTCTCATTTCCACACCAGTCAGGCTCAACAGGAGAACAAATAAGTCCCGCACATAACTCTAAAATCCACATAGATTCTATTAGCAGTGGGTACAGTAATTGACCCTATTGTGATTCTTTTTCCTGTTACTTCTGTCTGCTTCTGCCACGTCCAGCATGCAATGGCGTGCACATATTATGAGGCATACAAGGCAAGGCAGGGCATTTTTATTTATGTAGCGCAATTCATACCAAGCGGCAACTCAATGTGCTTTACATTAAGACAAGACATTGTAAATAAAAAAAGAACAGCATAAAACAGCATAAAAAATAAATAAAAAAAAAAAAAAAAAAAAAAAAAACCATTTTAAAAAAATGGTTAAAACACAGTTAAAAGCAGGAACAAAGGAAAAAGCAATATGTTTGTTACAGCTACAGTGCTTTTGCAAAACCAAGATTACAATGTTAAAAAGAACATATTAAAAAAAAAATATTTAAAAAAGCTCAGCCATAAGCACATGAGAAGAGAAATGTTTTTAACCTGGATTTAAAAGTGCTTACAGTTGGGGCTGTTATGAGTTCTGCTGGTAGCTTGTTCCAGTGGTGTGCAGCATAACAGCTAAACGCTGCTTCACCGTGTCTGGTTTGAACTCTGTGCTCCACTATCTGACCTGAGTCAGTAGATCTCAGAGCTCTACTGGGTTTATACTCTACTAACATGTCGTTCATGTATACTGGACCTAAACCATTCAGTGATTTATAAACCAGTAGCAGAACTTTAAAATCTATTCTGTAGCTGACTGGGAGCCAATGTAAAGACTTGAGAACTGGGGTGATATGCTCTGATCTCTTTGTTCTGGTTAAAACTGTTTGATACTTTTTTGGGGGAGTCCAGTCAGAAGACCGTTACAGTAGTGGAGTCTATTGGAGATGAAGGCATGAATCAGCTTCTCCTGATCTGTTTGGGACATAAAGCCCTTAATCCTGGATATGTTCTTCAGTTGATAAAAGGCTGTTTTAGTGACTGATTTGATATGACTGTTGAAGGTCAGATCTGAGTCTATCAGCACGCCAAGGTTGCGGACTTGGTCTTTAGTTTCTAGAGAAGGCAGAAGACGACAGACTGCTTTTATCTGTCAGAAACCGATCAAACGTTCTGGTTCTGGTGAAGGAGGTCTTTATGTGGGTCTTTATGCGGGTTCTTTTAGAGCCTTTGTTTCACAACTTTTCCCTGAACTGTTTAGCATTCTATTTTGTTCACAGATGCACCAGTAATGACCTCAAATGCATCATCAGGCTCATCAAACACGACTTAAAGATGAACGCCGGTGCCAAACACGTGTGAGTGTGCATGCCGCTTCATAGCGCACCAGTTCGTTTCTGCTCTCTAACATTTGTTGTTGCCTTCACGTGCAGTTTGGATGCAGTGGATCCAAATGCTTATGATGCCTTCAAGGCCTCACGTAATTTGGGCGACGTCATTGAGAGGGTATTAAGAAACCAGCAGGACGTGTCCAATGGTTCCGGACCCAGGAAGCTGCTCACCGTGGAGGCGTCCCTCATGACCCCCGTCCAGCCCATGTTGGTGAGCCCTCACCCTGAAGTGGGACTAACCCTTTCCTGGGTCCTCCTCCATCTTTTCATGTCTTCATGCCAATGCAACACGGTACCACTGTGGTGTTTAACCCCGTGTGAGCCCCGTGTGTGAGCCCCGTGTGTGAGCCCCGTGTGTGATCCCCGTGTGTGA